GATTCCAATGCTTGCAGTCTACTCACACTCAGAAGCGATCCGACGTCATGCTCGAAAGGACCCGCCCACTGGATCCGATTAACCGAGCTCGATCAGGTTGGTCAAAACTTGAAACATCTGCACTTGTCTGATGAAGATCCTCGTTGAAGCAGGAGCAGGAGAAACTGATCATGATGCATCCGCGTTGCAGGCTGCTCCTGACGCTGGTACGAGGAATTCCTTTTGTTGGCTGACACGACTCTTTGCTGGTTTGATTCATGACTTGCAGAATATGTTCGGCAATTCCTCGCAATGGCACAACGCTTGGAGAGATTCAAGATGCTCTCGGCGAATGTTGTGACCGGGATCGTGGAATCGATCCAAAAGGGAGGGGAGACTCCAGTTGCAGCAGCAGGTGGATACAATAATTTGTCTCTTTGGCATCTTTTCGCTTCTGAGTGGCCCCTTGTCTCTCTTGTCCAGGCCGCTTCTGCAGCAGCTACGAAGTGCTCGCTTGTGTTGGCCAGGGGGCGTCCGGGAAAGTATACAAGTGCCGTAGCAAGGAGGACGAACAAATCTACGCCATCAAAGTCATCAAGGTTCGCACAGCAACGAAGTCCAGAGACCAGGATGTCGCGCTCGTCTTCAAGGAGGGAGAGATGCTCCAGCGCTGCGAACACCCCAACATAGTCAAATACTTCGACATGTGGAAGGAGGAAGGCGAGCCGGGCAAGTCGAAAGTGTACATTGTCATGGAGTTTTGTGGCCGCTCGCTCCAGTCGGTGCTCCTCGGGCGGTGAGTCACCACCTGCAGATGCGTTTAGGCAGCTTCTTCAAGCTGTGGCGCATGTGCACGACAACGTGGGTGTTCATCGGGATATAGCACCACACAACATCTTCGTCACAGACGATGGACGCATCAAGCTGGGAGATTTCGGTCTTGGTAGGCAAATGAAACATCTCTTCCATCTCTCATTTGTTGGCTTACAGCTAAAAATAAGGAGTCCATGCTCGAGACCGAAAATATCAAGAAGGGGAGAGCAGTTTACTACTCTCCCCAGCGCCGGAGCAACTCAACCTACACTGACATGCTTGCGCTTGGAGTTATACTCTTCGAACTTCATTGGAGGTGTCCCCCGGACCAGGTTTGGCTGCAGTTTGTGCAACGTGCTTGCTTAGTTTGGTGAATCTGTGTAGGAAAGGGAGTCGGTATTGATTGACGTCCGGGATGGCGTTTTACCAGCAGACTGGGCGTACCAACACCCATCAATTGCGCCCAAGGTGTTGGAGCTGGTCGCAGCAAGACGCGACCAGCGTCCATCCGCGCGCGACATCCTCTGCGATCCTGCCTGGCAATCTGTTTGGTGAGTTTCTTTCATTACTCTGATTCTCTGCTTGGCTTCTAACATGTCTGTTTGCAGCTGATCGTTGTAGTTGTTTAGATTTACTTGCTCCTTTTTGTCATCTTTGTAGTCTTGGTCTTTTTCAGCATGCTGATTTCGATTCAGAAATATGAATTCGTTGCCAGTTCATTGCATTTCTGCCAGGCCGAGTTGTTCTCGATCAAGGTTGCTGAACAACTCAAGGGCTTCCGACATTCTTGTAGTCAGGTTCGGTTCAAGGAACAGGATTGGTAAACAGCACATTGACGGGAGATGCAACAGCGTGGTGTCCACGGCTGGCTTCTTGTAGGGTCCATGCATCTCACCTCAAGTGGGCAGAGATCGAGTGGAAGCTGGAGAGCTATCCCAATTCTCGGGAGATGCGATGAAGAAAATGGCGGGATTGTTGATTTTTGTAGAGAGAATATTCGCACCTTTGACCTGTTGACCTTTTTACAGGGAAACGTTTTCCTACAGGAATGCCGAGTACCTTTTTGACGAGTCTGCAAAATTATAGAAAGAAAGATAAGTTAAACAATTAAATGAATCCAAGGAACCTGGAAGTCAAAACAAGAGAGTAACTTCAGAACACTCAAAATCTCACCCCTGCAAGTTCTGTTGGTACAGGGTGAATGAGTTTCTTTTTGCCCCCTCAAAGCCCCTTTTTTGACGAGTCTGCAAAATTATAGAAAGGAAGAGTCAAATGGAGAGAGAGAGAAATATATATATATATATGAATTGATCCAGGTTTCTTGTTTTTTTCATACCTTGAGGAACCAATCGTTAAATTCCACTGATTTCTTTGCATACTTGAATGCAAAGAATAACAAATAATGAAGCTAGGTGCTTGGTTAGATTGAGGCAAGTTTTCAAATAGCTAGAACAAACTTTAACTCTTTTAAGTTGTTTAGTGTTTAACCATCATGACATCAATCTTAAAACACGTCCAGAAGTTGGATTTTGTGCCCTCTAGATTAATGATGTTAATTTTAGACTCTTTGTCAGTGTTAATCCTTGTAATTTATAGGATAATATAGAGTTTCTCAGTTTTATATAGTTTTTCAAATTTTACTTGATACTCTTCCTATGAGGCAAAATAAAGAACTTCATAGTTTTTTATATGAAAACTTTAAAGTTGGTAGATTAGAGAATATTCTAGAAGATACTTAGATATTTAGGTATATTCTTTATACCTATAAAGCGAAATGTAAAGAAAATCCAAATTAAGAACACTAAAGTATTCACAAATGAAAATCACGATTTAAACATTGTACATTAAAACCGTTTTGATCAGCTAATCGCTCAAGTGACCAGCTTAATTTCAATACCAGAATGTGGATATTCAGTACCGCGGTTTCTCTGCTGCAAACGAAAACACGTAAAAATACTTGTAGGGCAGGGACAATAACATCGTCCTATTCATCTTCATTGTTTTTGGTTGACCACCAAACCTAAGTTGGATATAAACAGCTTTTTGCTTTTTCTTGGACTTTCCGAGAATGTGGATCACTATTGGATTTGTATGGCTGGATCGCATCCCAGTATGCAAATGATCTTGTGCGCCTCATGACACCCAATGCGTGATACACGACTGTCAAGGCGTTTGTGGAGAGTTACTTTGGCTACGACATGACATTTGGGTGTTGTCGCGGGTGTCTTGGTCGGCTTCCCGGTCTTCTTTGCCTTCATGTTTGCCTAATGTATCAAGTACCAGGAGGTAGCTCTTTTTTTCCAATCTCTTTCAGGCTTGGTCAAGCAAAAGTTGTGAGCTCATTACTAGGATGATACACTTTTGAAGCAGAAGAGCTTGAAAACTTGGTGTTCTTTTGGCTTGTTCTACCATTTTGTTTTACACAAGACATGCAGGAAATCCTCGAAAGTCACTTCCATAAACTATTGGGGGGAAAATTATAACATATATTACAAAATACAATAGTCAGTTAAACACAACCCATTCATCATCGAATGGATCTGGGACGTACAATTTGCCTTGCTTCTCCACATTGTCCAATATTCCAGCAATGGGTAACTTCGGTAAAGTCCACACACTTTGGCAGGGCAAGATGGAAAGGGGCTACATCTGCCAAGAAGTCCCGCTTGAAATCCTGAAACCCTACATGGTCAAGATTCTTGACTTTCATCCTGTCCTTTAGAACAACACAATTGCCACCATGTAGCCTCCTCTACACAAGCCTCCGAGTAGGATCCAGATGGTCAACCACAAGGTTGACATACTTCTCCTGGGCGGCACTAAACACCACGATATCGTACACATTTGAAACCTACCCCAGAAATTCATCTACACCTAATCTCTTCATGATGTGGAGTGGTGCATCATTGTCAAATTCCATGCTGAAATCTACAGAAGAGACGAGATCCTTATGAGCGTATACTAGTGGATTGTCTAGATCGAGAATGAGTGTTTTCTTCATGATACCCTAAAAAATGACTCATATTCCGTGGAAATGTAGAAAAACTTATTCAAATTTTTGTAGAGAGAATATTCACACCTTTGACCATTCACTCACCACAACAGAACTTGCAGGGGTGAGCTTTTAAGTGTTCTGAAGCTACTCTCTTGTTTTGACTTCCAGGTTCCATGGATTCAATTCAGAAAGGCCTGTAGGAAAACGTTTCCCTATAAAAGATCAACAGAGTTTCTTTTTGCCTATGGTGGAACCTCAATGCCAAGTACCTTTTTTTGAGGACTCTGCAAAATCATAGAAAGAAACAAACAAATGGAGAGAGAGAGAGAGAGAGAGAGAGAGAGAGGAATTGATCCATCAATTTTATCTGTCTAGGTTTCTAGTTTCTTCCATACCTCGAGGAACCAATCCTTAAATTCCATTGAGTACTACTCCTCTTTTTAAATAATTTGTTGTACTATTTAAAATACACGA